TTTTTTTTTTTTTTTTTTTTTGCTTCCAAGATTTTATTTAAATTCAAATTAGTTAGTATATAGTGTAATATTGGTTTCAGGAGTAGAATTTAGTGATTCATCAATTACATACAACATCTAGTGCTCATCTCAACAAGTGCCCTCCTTAATTCTCATTGCCCATTTAGCCCAAATCCTCCTGCCTACCTCCCCTCCAGCAGCCCCCAGTTTGTTCTCTACAGTTAAGTAGTTAAGTCTTTTATGGTTTACCACCCACACTGCTTTTATCTTATTGTTCTAAACATTGTGAAACATTTGTAATTTAAAAAATATTTGATGAAAATACATTTAGGTTTTCTATGATTTTTTTGTTTGTTTGCTTTGGTTGTTTTAAAAAAGAGCCTGTGATTTAGTCTATGGCTATAAGACCTATATTGAACTTAAAGGATCCATTAGTAAACTCAGATTTCCAAAATAATTATAATAATTTAACATCATGGGCCTTGCCTAGTTTATTTTATGCTAAATTTTATAAAATGATTGTCTCAACTGACAGATACTATTTCAAAGTAAGTATTTGAGCATGTGGGGAAAAAAATATGTATGTACTGGATTTCATCTCAAAGGTGGAATAGCTAAAAACTTTGCATGGTTGGTTTTAGATTCTTGTCTGTACCTTAGTCTCAAAATATAAAACCAGTCCAGTCACCTTCTTGCCCTTTGGAAGAGTTGTGCAATGGGCAGTAGAGCTACATGGAAATGGTAGTATCTTCTCACTTTTTCAATAATCATAATGATAATTTTTCTACATGGTGTTATGAAAATAATTTGGGAGATGTGAAAAAACCTTATATAATATATGGTCACTGCCTAATACTAGTGATACTTTTGATGTGGGAACTCCTAAACAGATCACTAGAACCAAGATATAAAAATCAATATATAAAATACATAATGGCGTTTGCATATATCTCCTAGGAACAAAAGTTCTATCAGATTTGAACCAACAATTCAATGTCAGACAAGGATCTGAGATGACTCTTATTTTTCAAATAACTATTAATGTACTAAAATTGAGGACAACGGTCATATTAAATTTTCTCTTTTTAATCTCTATTGCTTAATACATGTAAAAAAAAATACAGTGTTTCCTATCTCTAGAGGTCAAGTCTCCTATAATTTAGTTCCTAACGTGGACTAGGAAAGTCATTAGAACATTTTTTAAAATGTTCTATTTTACTTAAATAGTTACACCAAATTATGCTCATGAATAAAACAAACCTAAAATGAACACAAAGAAAGCAGAGTAAAAGAACATAACTCAACCACATCTATGTATTGAATGGAATTCAATTTATAATATTTGCCTGAATATATATGTATTTTTTCATTGTTGGAAAAGTCAATAGCAACCATTATCTGCTTATGGCTAAACAGACATTGGATTTCTTCTTACTGTTTGAACTGCAGATCAAAATTAAGAAAAAATCCTTTATGTTTATTATTACTTGCCCTAGAGATTAGCATGGGTGTTTCTATGATTGAGGAATAGCTAACAATTCTAACCTTATGTAAGTCCAGCTTTGACTCACTTGGAACTTATGTGGGACCAAAATAAGTCTGGGTTTCTGACTGTTCTATGCTTAGATTCAATCTTGAAAGGAACTACTTTTCAGGTTGAGACTTCATGATGGAGAACCACTTTGACAATTTAGAAATAGCTCAGTTTAACATGAATACTGCCAACTTCTAGGTCTGTATTTGCCCTAGTGCAAATGATGTCTCACCATTTGTCAAAGCCCAGAAATATTTTTCTTTTATCCAGCAGCCAGTATTCTATTTTCAACACAGAATGGGGCATTTTTATTTACCTATTAATAATAAATACAGTGGATTACCACAGATGACCAGAAAGAACCTGATAAACACTTAACACAGAACAAAGCTATCTCTATGTTCTAGTAGACGGCCTATTAAAACAACACTATTTTATTGATCTCCTTACATTTATGTTTGAGCAATAAGTTTTGTTTTTTTTTTTAAAAAGACCACTGGTATAGTTTTTTAACTGAACACCTTCTGCAACAACAGGATGTGCAGAAACAGCAAATAAGTAAAAAGCACAAGAGAACTGAGGTGTGGAAGCGAACTCTGGTTTTACTTTGTTTGCTTTTAATTTTTAATGTTCTCCCATTAAGAATCTAACACAAACCAGATCCCTGCATTTTCATCTAGCACAATAAAATATGTAAAGTAAATTACAAACAACAGAACAAATCAGTACTATGCAGAAATATGTCAAAGATAGTATTCCCTTTCCTTTCCTGAATTCCAGGTACATCTTTCCCTGACTAAGTCAATATAATTAGGTAATAAGTTTGTTCTTTTCTTTCAATCCACTGCTTTCCAGAAATGTGTTTTCTATCTATGACCTATGGAAGTTTCATTGTACTTCAAAATGAGAATGTGGCTATATAATGCTTGAATGAATAGTTCAAATATTTTTGTTGTTGTTGTTTTTTCAAATATTAGTGGCATTATTTTTATTTTTGTATTTTTATTTTTAAAATTTTTTAATGTTTTTTGGTTTTGAGAGACAGACAGAGACAGAGCTCAAGTGGGGAAGGGCAGAGAGAGAGGGAGACAAAGAATCTGAAGCAGGCTCCAGGCTCTGATCTGTCAGCACA